ATGTATGGTGTGGATTGGAGTGGGAATCATCAGTGCAGCCCCCAAACCACCATTTGGAAATTTAGATAACATGCATGCATGGTAAGAGAAAAGCAAAGGAAAGAAAGAAGATAGGGAAGAATAGATGGTGGAAAAATAAAGAAATGAAGGGAGAGGGATGTTTTAAATAAGCAATAGCTATATAACATAAGCATGCATAGAAAGCTAACATATGTTACGTAGTTGTCCACCTTTGTGCGTTTCGCAGGGGGCTCGGGTTGCGATGACATACTGAAATATTAAGTTAGACGTAGTTGATACAGGTTTATAAATTTATCAATAGAGAGTAGACGTGCGCGACGCCAGATTCATCGCAGTATATGTATTTGCTCAGAACAGTTTTATATCTATCCACATACCTGCGGACAATAACTTCTAATCTAGAAATATCGAAACCTCTATGAAGGTAGATGCTGAGCAGGCGGTGAGACCACCACACAAATCGATCTAAACGAGAACAAATACGCGCATACCTTAGCATTTAAGACATTAGGATGCCAACGTGAAGACTATGATCAACGTCACTGTGAGCGTAACTATAATGGTTGACGTTGAATAGATAATCGAGGCTTTTATCATAAACGTCAAAGATGCACCTATGTTGGTGGCAAGAGATTTCCAAATCAAGGAAACATCGTGGGTCGTATTGAGAACCAAAGAGTTCCCATAAATATCTGGTGAAATCAAGGGGAAGTCGGGAAAATTGACAACCAGAATATCGTCAGTGTATCGGAAGAGCTTTAACCTAACATGTTTATGGCTTTTCATGAAACGATATTTCATGATAGACAATGTTATGTCAGCAATGTCTAGACTCGCATTCCCACCCATCGGAACACCGCAGATTTGGTTGAAGACAGTACCGCCAAAACTAACGTAAGACTCACTCAGTATGGTTTGAAGTAATGACTTAACTTCTCTGGAGCTGCAGGTGACGGTGCGAAGTGAGGTGTTACTAGTAAACCAACATTCCGAATCAGAGACCGCCAACCGTCCGTCCCTGCATTAGAGAAGCACAAGTCAACTAGGTAGCAAAGACACTCCTGAATAACACTGTGGGGCAGAGTTGTAAAAAGATTGCTGAAATTGGCACTATGTAGGTGTTCGATGGGGTCACTGAAGACAGCAAGCTGACTGATCACATCTAAGGAGCAGCGGATACTGAAGTAGACACTACGACCAGTACGCTCAGTGATTCGGATGTAGTAATTCCGGAAATGTGAACGTAGGTGTGTGAGAATCCGATGGGCTACCAAAGTCAGAGGGCGTAGTGTAAAACGATGTGCGCCAGCTATCAAACGGTACTGATAAGGATATTTATGTAGTTTTGGTACAGCATGAAGTATAGGAACGCAGTTGCCGTCATCGGTGGGGGCAATTTGAAATGTGCTTAATAGCGCGATGTGAATGTTGATGAGATTCTCAATGCTGTGTACCGTCGGACTGTAAACATTACTGCCGATAATCCTGCCAGAAGCTGTGTATCCCAGTTCATCACATAATAACTGGGCATAGAGTTTCTTACAAATGAAGATGTAGTTATAAGACGCTTTGTCGACAGTGGTGATAATGAATTGATCATGTAGGGAGCGTAAGGCAGTACCTAACCCCAACCATGAAAATGGTACACTACCCTGACAAGCAGTACTTCGCCATTGCAGAACAGCTAGAATCCTGCGTTTGAAATCCTCATGATAGTCTATCGTGTGTCGGTGAGCGTGACTGTTCTTGCGAGTGAAGTCGTCAAGTGCGGAAGACACGTCCGTAAGTACATCTTCAAATCGGCGAAGGCTGGGTTTTC